CGCTTTGCTATTCTAATTTCACGTATAAATCTCGTTGCGCCACAGAGAGCTCTGTGTTAAAAGGCTTCCGTGTATATGTGGGTGTCTGTATGTACCTACACATCTAAGGTATATATATCCTTTACGTATATATATGTGTGTATATATATATATACACACACACACACACACACACACATATATATATATATATACACACACACACATATATATACCTTTTTAAAGCTTGGGGAACTTGGGGGAAGATAAATGTGATGTAATGACGGCGCCTGTCGGAAAGGAAGATGCAAGAAAAAGGTGATGGACGCGAATTAAGGGCAGACATCGATACCTTTCACTCTGCGAACATCCGGCGTGTTTGTAGGCGAGTCTTCCGTCGATCGATCGACCCTCATCACGAAATAATGAGCGGCCACATGAGCCGGCAAATAATCGTTGTCGCGTAATTTCTTCTTTTGACCTCTCCCTTTCCTTCTCTCTCTCTCTCTCTCTCTCTCTCTCTCTCTCTCTCTCTTCGAATAAACGTATTGCATATAATAGAGGTTTTTTTTTACTTAATTGAATTCAAATTATTATATGTATATATTGTTGATAAATAATAATATCGGTTTTATCATCACAATTTCAAAATATTCTACCTATCTATTTTTTATCACACCACTCGATTATTGGTTTGGGTCAATTTTGAAATATCAGTCTGCAATTTAACGAAGTAATAAAAAACAATTGTTGTAGAATTGCATTGGCGTTATCAGTAACTTCTATTGTGAAAATGGTAAACAATCTAATCAAAATGAGATCGTGTTTCTAATACTGTAATCCAACAAGGGAACAAATGAAATGGGATAAATGAATTATTTAACGTACGTGAATTTCATTGCTAATGATCAATTACTGAGAAATAGAACGTAAATTGTTTCCAGGAAATATCGTGTTTAATTACTCGAACAATTATAAATATTACTACTATTTCAAAAAACATCTAGAAGGTATTATAGTTGCCGTTTAATTACGTTTTACCAGCTATAATTATCTAAATTTTTGAAAATAAAACCGGATTGCGCCGATTGTTTTCTGCAAATTGGATTTGTTGAAACACTATGGCGATATTTTTGATAGTATTCGAAATGTCGGAGCAGAGGAAGAAAAAGTAGAAAGAGTCGCAACGCTATCGCAAGCTTAAACGAAGCTGCGCTGCGGAATGAAAATAATTGCAACAACCAGAATGGCTTTACTAGTTCAAATTGCTTCCACTATACGTGGTCACGTAATTTGGATATGTTCGAGGGCAAATTGATTTCCCTCGAAGACGATATACCGTGCGCTGTTACTATAGAACACAGCTTTGGAGTTTGGACATACCCGGTGGAATTGCGTCGATTCGTGTATTCTAATATTCCGTTGTTGTCGCAAGCAAGTTGCTCACCGCATTATTCACCCACGTTGCATCGCGATGCATTTGTATGTACGAGAAACGCTATTCCGCTTTTACGCCATTTGCAACGAATTACGGTGTAATACTCGAGAAAAGACTTGCATCGCTCAGACTCTCTTGCGTGCGACCATGCCATTTCTCGCGGTCGCGTCTTCCTAATGTACTTTTCCCCGCAACTCTCTTTACAACGACCGGAGTTTAATCGCTGCTCTACGCTTACCGACATCATTTGTTGGTGTAATTTCTCTTTTACGTACGTATACGTAGTATTTCCAAAGTAACTCATTGATAAGCATCGTTCCCTTTAAATATATTATTCCTCGTAATCTAAAATGTGTTGTAATATTCACGAAGATAGACAGAAAGATAGGATATAGTGTTTTAATTTAATTAAGTATTTAAATAGAGTTTTGCGATAAAAGTATGAATGGTAAGATCATATTATAGATAGATCATATTATAGAAACTAGTAGTGCTTTCCAGCAAGAGACACACAATGTGACACAGTTATTATTTTATCTTTGTTTGACGGACAAACAACAAGGATGTAATGATTTACTGTTACATTGTTATCTGTGCCTCTTCTTGGAAAACACTTCAAGTCCTCTTATTTGCTTGTATATATACTGAGGAGAATACATTTCTAATTCTAATATTTACAATTAAAGCGTACAAAAAGGATGTGTGGACGCATAAATTTAAAATAATGCTTGTTAAATTGCGTACAATAATTGCAACAATAATAACAAAAATTAAAACAACCAAATAATTGATCAAATAACGTGTCGGAAAATATAATAATGTATTTCTGTTTAAATATTCAAAAAAATATTTATGACTTCGATATCTCTACTATCTATTTTTTCTATCTTTATGGATACTTTTACAAATTGTATTACATATGCCCATTTGAGAATCGAGTATCGCGTCATTCTATTTGTGGAAACTAAAGATCAGAGATCGCGTGCTTCGGGCAAGCGGAAATGTAATTACACAAATTAGCTCGTTTCTTGCATACACTCCGGATATTTACTCGCACCTTATTAGCTAATTAAGTCCGGAAAAAAGCGCGAAGAGAGCATTAAAATGCTAGAAGGCGGCTTTACGCGAATTAAAGTACATTTTTTCCAAAGATAAGTTTAACCAGGCGGCGTTTCGTAGAAGTGAACTGAAGTTCAATTTGCATTTTGTTTTATTTGTCAACTATTAAACTGCGGATTCGCAGAGGGGAATAATCCCGTCTCTCTATCCGCTTAATGGGTGGACTGTCGACTTTTGATTCTTGATGCGACGCCGCTGGCGCAGTTTTTACAAACTACTCTGCATCGAGAAATTTTAAATTAGCTTGTTGTTTCGCCGGGAAGTTTGAACGAGCTTCGACAAGAAGCGGACGTAACTTTGTGGATGATTACACAGTTAGCGTCAGGAGATATATATATATATATATATATATGTGTAGTATTTCTTCTTTCGTCTCTCTTCACCTTTCTTTTAAACAACAATGCGCTACGTCAGTATATAATATAACTACTCATATGAATTCTCTCTTTATTAAAGCACTGATAAAGAAGTGTTTGGTATTTGTGCACTATAATTGTACGATAAAATAATTGTGGTTAGGAGCTCTATTTTTATTATTATTACTGCTAAAATGTTAATAATAATAATATTATATGTATAATCCTTTTTTGACATGAAAAACATTTTAGCATATCAAATATATATATATATATATAATATATAGATAATTTTAAATACTAATATAGTAAAACATCAAGAGAATGATGAATAAAATAAATATTTTTATTCAGTAAATAAAATCGTAATTATAGCGAATATATCTATTTTCACTTATTATTTATGTAATAATAACAACTAAAACATATGTTAAGGAAAACCTAAAGATTTTCAAGCAGTGTGTGTGACTATTATTAATAGCACAATTGACTATATTTGCGCTGTTAAAAAAATTGTAAATATATAATTGTCTCAAAAAATGATTATAAGTCATAATTAAATTACGGTAATTTTAACAATTTTTTTTTCTCAATGCGTGTTTTGAATTTATCTTTTTATCTGTCCGTAGAGTATGGAGCAATAAGGTCGCAACATATACTTTATTATAATACTATAGAATGTACTGTTAATTATAATATCCTCTGTTTAAAAAGAAATTTATGGAATTTTAATTAATCTTAATATGAAAAATGAACGTAGTAAAATGACTAACCGTGCAATAAAATTCCATTAATCCTATTAGCCGACATGCCGTTAAAGTTCGGTAATTAAAAAATCGATAAATTCCGATGTTCATTTCTCAATATCGCAACGTTATACATCTTATTTAATCTTTCAACAATTTCTGTTCCAGTGAGGGCGCATAAATACTGCGAGCTAAATGGCACGTGGTTCCGTCATCCCGAATCAAATCAAATATGGAGCAACTACACGACTTGTGTGAATCTACAGGATCTGAGCGTGAGTTATTTCTTAATGTATTTACCTCCGTTCATATATAAATTAAACTAGTTATTAAAGTTCTCTCTTGCCTCATCAAAGAGACGTAACATTTGAGAACATTGTAGCAATCGCGTAAAAGGAATCGTAAATCGCGACCTTTGAAGATATTTGAAAAATTTGATGGTTAAAACCATTTGACGGGAGAAGGAGGGGCTTTATCCCTTTGGGAAATAACATACAAGTTCTCACACGCGAGTCCCAGTTACATTCTCTCAGTCTCGTTGCGAGACATCGCCGTTCTGACACGGATTTGATTTCGCGTTATTCTGCCTGAAGGTTCACGATCAGCCGGTGTATTCTCCAAGAGCTAATATCGTTTGAACGAACAGGACGCGTTTGTTGAAATATTTGAAAGACACGCACGCTGCATCCGACAGAGAGGGTATTACTTATTTTGCATCGCAACGTTGCACAGAGGAACAATTTCAGCGATCACGCGACCTCGCAATATACCTTGCAACGGGCGATATGGCGCCTGTTACATTATTCGTTTGAGTATCAACCGATATTTTGGTCATTTCGAATAATGACATTACGGCGAGAGCGAGAGAGCGAGCGAGAGAGAGAGAGAGAGAGGTAAAAAAAAAGTTTCTCGCGATTTATTTTTGAAGAATTGATTTCTCGTCTCTGCAACTGTCACGACTCGGTGAAACGAGATTTATGATGCGCGCACCGGAAATTTCAGTAAAAAGAGAACGCGAAGCATAGAAATGAAACAAGCAATGAAATTGTTCTGAATTTCCCAACTTCTATCAATACGCAAATCCTTTTAAACGTTATCCTTTTAACGTCCATTATCTACCGAAGTATTTCCGCGGATGTACTGAAACCTTTTTAAACGCGGCAAAGCGATTTATCCGTCGAGACAGATAGATTTTGTAATCGCGACCTGTGTCACTGGTTACGCTCTTTAGAGAGATTTTTTTGACACCGCTTTTTTTACTAGATTAATGTTGGAAGGCAACGTATGCCTTTGACGGATACGAGACAGTACGATAATATGAAGCGTTTCCCGTTTCCCGCTTGCGAGAAGTCGCTTTTACGTAACACCATCCGTGTCAACCCTTCTCACGTATTTGACGAGCCGCGCTCTATTCATTAGGACCAGCTTCATTTTGGTACCGATACACGTAACGTAATCATCCTTTAGAATGTGGCCCGTCATAACCGCGCTTGAAGCGTCGAAGCTGCTTTCTCTCTCGGTATATCCATCACGAATATCCATCGTGAAGGTATTTCACACTTCTAACACGCATTGACGTGTCGATACCCACGTCTTTTTTGCCGCGACGCGACGCTGCTAAAATTGCAAACATAATCCCACGAAACTCATTTTCGAAATCGAGTTCTTACAGCAATCCTTTTGCTATCGTAAGATGAAACGAAAACAAATTCGAGGCACATCGAATAATAATTTTTGTGAAACGATGGATGTGGAAAGCTTGAAAAAAGTGAAAAACGGTTTAATGATTTTCATTCTCTAATTTTCTATTCTAGTGCGTATGGTCAAATGAAAATTAATTGAACACTTGTATCTCCGAGTACTCCTTTGTATAATTATAATTTAGAGGCGCGATTATTCATTACACCAATTCGCACGGTTATACTCATTCGTACAATGCAAGGGATTTGTTGTAGGAAACAACAATAGTGAAAGATACTCTGCGGTATTTCATGAACAATGATAAGACGCGCACTTATCTTTCGGATTCAGAGAATGAGGCCAGATGGCTTAGCGGAAAGCTCAGGAGGATATATTTTTGCATGTACCATAGCTACCTCATTCTTGTCCAGCTATGTAATCTGCCTGAATAATTTCTATTTGAGTAATCTTCTTGTTTACTTAATCCTTCTAGTCTCGAAAGCTATTCTGTGAAACACACAAAATTGCAAACGGATTCATTAGACTCTGCTAATGATACACCGTCGTAACCGAGTTACTCTTTGTGCGCGCCCTTTCTCTCTCTCTTTTCTCTCCCTTTTTCCCTTTTTTTTTTGTTTTGCAAATTACATAGTGATATATTTGCCTCTCGCAGAAATGGCGGTCTGTTCCAGAGTTTTTAATTCACACGTGTCTGACGTGAACTGAATTCTCCTCGCGTATGTGGCGTTGCATGTTTAAATGAAACCGATTCTTTGCGCTCGTAGTGCTGCGACGGTGCGACAAAAGCCTTTGTATTCATTCCTATACACGATGAACGTTTACGCATCATCATTGATTCGCGTTTCTAACATCTGCAACATCTGGACTCTAAGATAAATATTGTCGTAAAACTGCTTATGCAAGGGAAACGGCTTATGCAAATAAATACACTTAAAATGCATTGGACGTAATTGTATACTCGTAGTCTCGTTCTCCGAAAGCATGTAAATTGATTGAAATTCTCATCGTTAGTATTGTATCAATTCGTTCGCTTTTGTTTGGCAATCATTTTAAAAGGAAATTATTTGCAGCGCTTTTATTAGAAGCACTGTTTATGAAATTGCATAGAATACGCTGTAATTGAAAATATAGTGTAACAAAGAATTGATTTACTTACGTATTTTATACCGTTTAGCAATATGCGACTTTTACGTTCCAAAAGAAAAAATAAGTTCTGCGAAAGAATTCACATAAAGTTCCAGAATAATTTATGCGACAGACGTTTATTACACGTACTTTTATCAAGAAGAAACTGAAAACGAATAGCAGTTACTGCCCAACTGAATTATATAGGTACAGTTTGCTATAAAATGTCACGTGATGTTTGCATGACATTGATTATTTCTCGAATACACATAGAAATTTTGTAGTTTGCAATTTACATAGTAGTTAATATTTATGTGACAGATGTTTGTCGCACTTCTAGTAAGGACAAGAGAGAACTGAGAACGAAAGAGATGTACAATTTGGTTATATAAAATTTGCAAGAAACTGTTATGTATTGCATGACTTTGCACTGTGTCAGTCGTACTAGAATTAGTTGCCTTGTTAAGTAAACGCCGTTTGCAATAACTTGTGTTTAAATGACAAAACAAGATTTCGCTATCTATTCGTAGCTCTGAAATTTAATTCTTGAAAATTCTGAACTTTCTTTTATATTCTGCGCATGGAAAACAAATAGTCCGAAACTTTCTCTTAAACTTTCAGTTCTAAATTATTACAGAGATAATTACAGAAATTAACTAATGACAGGCAAGCACAAGAGAAAATTAAAAGTATTTTCATTACATTTAGTTCAGAGAACTCCTTTGACTCTTCGTACAGCACATTGTAGAACCATTATTTGTTTAGAGAGATTTGAACTAAATAACAATTAAAGAGTCTCTCTATATATTTTAGAAGATATTGATTTTCTTTTTTTTTTTTATATTTTCAGAAAGTATATTTAGAAAATATTTTAAATTTCATTGAAAAATTGATGAAGTTTTAAGTTATTGAATAGTGACGTATGACCTTAAAAATGGTCAGTTTCTGATAACATACAGTTAAAACATGAAACATAAATCTCTGTGGATCATTATTTATTATTCCTAAAAAAAAAATTCCTGAAAATCATCAATCTTTTGGGTTAAAGTAGAGAAATCTTTCAATGGACGAATAACGATCAATGCATTATTATTCATGTTGTATAGACATCATTCACGCAACTGATACATTTGCGTCTAGAGAAAATATATCAAATATATTCCATTTTGCATACATGAAATTGACATAATACTTATACATAATTTATAGTTGTATATTTAGGATCTTTTCTGAAAGGGTTATTATCAGTTCTGTTATTATATAAATAGCGCGTTAATAAATTATTTTTCTGAATATTTCTGAGCTTGAAATGTCTCCTTCTCATTCTTGATTTTGCATAAGAATATTAGATTTTTTAAATCATGATATTTTACCTGAAAAAAGTATAGGCAAAATATGAGATTCTCTCATTAATATCTTAGCGCATATATATCAGTTTTTTTGCGCGGAAAAACCGTGCAAAAATTTTCTTTATACACTCTGTCAAAACTCTAACCAACGGAAACGCCAGAAATTACTTACGTAGTCGTAAAGAAAGGGGAGAAAGAAATACTTTATGTGACAACAAAAAATTTATTCAGTCAGAAATAAAGTTATGTTTTTTATAATTAAATATGAAAATTTTCAGAGAGTTTTGTTTGAAACCTCCCCTCCATGCTTACGCCAATAATATAACTAGTTTTATTGTTCTACTTTATTAAACATATAAATATATATCGTGCTCGCAACAATAAAATATAAACTGGCAATTTTGGTAGATTTCAATTATAGTTATGTATAAAATTTCGGTGTCATTTATATATGAGCAAGAAATATATGTATATACAATATCAGAAATACTTTATAATATCAAAACGCAGGTAAAAAACATCTGTAATTATAATACATTATAATAATTGACAATACGCAATATGAAATGTAAATACATTTATATCATTTCGATTTATTATTTTATAGATTTGCAGCTCTCGTTGTCGAATCGATGATATTGTATAATATTGTTACATTTTGAGAGAATTCATTGCGTTTGCATCGCGAACTTCGAACCAAATCCAATACGATCGGTAAACAGTGTTAGCTCCATTTCAATTCGACAATACGACACGTACGAAATCGAGGATTCATCTATCTCCTAATATTAACGGGATCGCGGATGCAAATGACAATAAGCTGCAATGTAGTGCGGGAGATAGTGTAATCCCCGTTATCGATACATAATAAACCAAGCGAAGCGGCGGGATACAATTATCGTTTTGTTCGCGTTGATAAAATTTATCGTGTCCCCGCATGCAACAGTGGCATAATTTCCGGAACCCGTGTTAATCCGATTGGACCGGCCCGAAGAAGAGAGACCCAGACTCGTATCCACCTACTATTATCGTATCAAGTGCCGTGTAATCTCAAGATAGAGCCTAGAGTATCCAGACTGCATACTCTAACTTCATGAATTATTTAGCGGTGACTACCGTGGCACGGCGTAAAATCCGTTTAAAGGTTTGGACTCATTTTCATAATTATATTCATCTATTCGATTAAAGATATGGATTAATTAAAGATGCGAACTCGCTGTATTTTGCTTTCAACTGCGTTGCAATTCCTTTTTGATATACTTTAGCTCTCTTTGTGGATTACTTGACTTCTCAAATAAGAAACTTAAAATTAAAATGTTACTTTCATCTCATCTAAAATCAAAATATTCTCGCTGTTTCGTATGTAACCTTATTTCGATAATATATGGTAATAAACTGTATTTGCGAAAAATTAGATTACTTTCTCGAACAGTTTTGCCGAAGCAAATTAATATTTCATAAAAACTTATATGTGCAATTTGTTAAAAAAAATTATTACAGTGTTTTATAAAGTATTTATTTGCTACATATATCTATATATAATTTTTATGATTTTGTCAATTTCTTTCTAATTGTTTTGAGAGCATTCGCATAATCGCCGGTACACTGCAAAGAGATTTATGCAGTCAGAGTTAAATATTAATGTACATTTGCATGCAATTTAAGCTGCAGCACCTTATCCATGAGTAGCGCTGGGCTGTGAAAGCGCAGACTTGTAGGCTTTCGTGCAACCGTAGCGTTAATACGTAATGTGACGTTCGTACGGTGGCGGTTAAGAATAACGCTGCTCTTCCAAGCCCATTGGGAACAACGGGTTAATGTCTTCCCTGACTCTCTCTATCATCATTCATTTCTAATAGATACAAGAATAGATCCTTTTGATCACGAACCACGGAGGTTCTCTGGTTACTTTATATATTTATAACAAGCGGGATTACATATTCAGGTGCTCGGTCAAAGTCTGAATTTTCCTTCCGTAGTCGAGACAAGCTCGATTAATTTTCCAAGCCTTCGTCGTCCTTGATGCAGGTCATGAGGCAGGTTTTCGGACAGCGAGCCTCATAAACACTTCGTGCTAGGCAGACATTTGTCATACATAGGACAACGTTACGAAGCTCTATTACTAGCGGACTTTGCTTTGCAGATGTGGCAAGATTTGCATGCGACGGTGTAAAGGAAGTATGTTGGTTGCAAAGGGGGCTCGAGGGACACGGAGGATCTCGTAAGCGGATGAATTTTAAAACGACTATGCTAGGCAGCTGCGCTGCTCGTCGCATATTTCGAACGAAAAAATGGCCAAACGGATTTGCGTGAGAGACTTGTAGTTTTTTTTTTTATGATTTTGGTCTAAGCTCCGAGGCTTCTCGACTTTCTGGCATACACGAAATCCGTAGGATTCTGAAAGCTAGTTTCAAGTATGAATATTGTTACGAGAATGCACTTACGACAATGAAAAGTCGTTATGACAGGCCTGGATAACAAATGCAGATTTTTGCACCCTTAGATTCCAAAAATTTTCGCTCTGAAATATGTTAAAAAGAAAGAAAGAATACAAAGAATGAATCATTAATTTTTTAAATATTTTTCTCACGTCAAGTTTTATGTAGTTGCACACTATCTCTCTATTCCGTAATCGTTACTTTCAAAAAAACTTATTTATTTAATCTTCTTTCGTTTGATACGTGTTGAAAAATAATTGACCTTACATAGTACTTAGTAAAAAGCTTAGACACACTGAAAAAAATTTATTAAATTTTCATAAATATTTGTTTGAATAGTACTAACTAAACGTTTACTTGTAGTAAATGTAAATACTTATTAAAAAGAAATGATATTTAAATAAAATTAATATACTTGTACCAATAAATATACGTTTACATTTGATAAATATTTAATTAGTACTATTTAAGCAAGCATTTATTAAAATTTAGTAACTTTTTTCAGTGTATTAATCTAAAAATATACATTTTTACGATTTTAATCAAATTTTACATGAATTGTAAGATATATTATCTACCAAACTTATAACATATTTTAGAAAAAATACTTTCTAAAAAAGAATTAATGTTATACAACAAATCTAGATGGTAGTTAGTCTCTTCTATGGTACACAAGCAACGGAGATTGCAACGACGACATGATAATTAATCAAAGAAACGATTGGGGTCAGATTCGCGTTACTTGTTCTCGACTACACCGTAGTCGACCCTTAACCTAAAATTGTGAAATTTTCTACGATGTAATAGAATTGTAACTTGTGTCGCCCGCTAATACGAATTAATAAAAATTAAGGCACCACTTTAAAAATTATCAGGAACAGTCTAGAAATGCAAGACAAAGTTTAAATTTTTGATAATTTGATTACAGTGGCAGCAAAGTATAAATGGAATCTACGAGGTGGGATACGCGATATCCTTGGTAGCTCTCTTGCTTTCCTTAGGAATTCTCACGTACTTTCGGTAAGTTATAAATTTATTGACGTTGTTATTATCTGTGCTACCTCAACAGGATATTAAAATTTGTATACGTTCCAGAGTACGTTAATTCAAAAACTTTTAGAATTACTTCTACAGGTATCTCGCGTTTGAAATGCGTCTAAATTAGATCGGTTGTGAGAAAAGGTATAACTTTTTAATTTAACAATAAAAGTCGCGGGTTTTTCCCCGAAAAAGACTTTTTAAGAATCTCAAAAAAGATAAAAGTAAAAAAGAAGTACGTATTATTTGATAATATTAAAAGCTTTAATTTAGATTTTTTTATAAAGATAATGTTATTTTATACATTTATTATATATATTATAGAATTATTGAATTTGAATAAAAGACGTTTCATATCTTACATGTAAATCTTATTATTGAAGGTACCGGCAGACTATTCACTTTATTCAAAATATCAAACTAGCTTAAATAGCGGTCCAATCTAGACAAATGTCATTCACGTACAATTGTTCAGTGAACTTCTAGATCTTTCTTTATTGTCTTTTAACATAAAATTAGGATTTATTGGAAAGACTTCAGGGAAATATATATGCAATTGAGAAGAGAACTTTCTTTACACACAGATCTCTCAGATGCGCACGGATTACACTGCACATGAATCTATTCACGTCGTTCGCGTTCAACAATGCTTTGTGGCTGATCTGGTACAGGTTCATAGTAGCAAATACGGATCTACTACTTAATAATGGCGTATGTACTAAGAATAAAAATTTAATAAAAGTCCATGAAAAAAAAGATATAAAAAGATATATGAAAATAAGGATCTATGTTTTATTTGTAATTCAAGATGCTTATTAAAACAGCGGAAATGGTATTTGTGCCATCATTAAAACTTTAAAACTTAATACAGTATTTTTCTTTTTCAAGTGATTTAGCTTCTTATCAAAAAGAAAAAGAAATATGTTTATAATTTAGACAAATGAAACCGTCATATTTATAAAAATTTTTTTAATTGTTTATGTTAATGAAAAATAAATATGTTAAAACTGTTTTAAAAAATTAGTTGAACATACAAAATAGAATTTATTAATTGTGATACGAAGTTAAATGCGGAAAATATTTTTTGATGGTAAATATGTTGGTGTGATTAAAAAATGATTAAAAATGATAACAATTTATTTGATTACATAGATTTATTAAAAAATAAAGATTATTAGCATCATCAGAAAATATTGTCGGATTATATTTAAACCTTAAATGGTACAATTACTCTGACTGTTATCAAGCGAATACGACTTGACTGACTTTGAAGAGGCGTTCATGAACTGTCGTGTGCTTTACAGATATTTTGTCGCATTTTGCACGTAGTCCTTCATTACTTTCTATTAACAAACTACGCTTGGATGCTCTGCGAAGGCTTCTATCTGCATACGTTACTAGTGAGTGCATTCACTAGCGAGCACAAATTAGTGAATTGGCTGATGGGACTCGGATGGCCAATGCCAGCTGTAATCGTCATCTTATATACAGCTTTACGTGCATCCAGTGACGATCCTGCAGACACTGAGCAGTAAGTAACAATTTGTCAATGATCAATTGCACTTGTAAAACAAATTACTTTGCTAGTAGCATTAAGAGAAACTTTTGTTCATAAAATGGATAAAGAGAAATTAAAATCGAATAAAAGATTCGATCTCAAAGTAGGTTAAAAAAACTTTTATCGTATATAATAGACAGAAAAAATAAAGTATTATCGCATTTACTTTTTCCTATATTTTACGACATTACATCACATATTTTTATTTATTTCAAACTATTTTTAATATTCCTATATATAAAATAAGCCGACACATATTTTGGCAATATTTTTTGGTCAATATTTTCGAAAATATTTTCGAAAATACGGAAGGTTAAAGTTTTAAAAATTCGCCGATTACTTCTTAAAATCGCGATAACTCCACTAATATATTTTTTTAAATTTTTATTTTGGTGGTCTTGAGCAGTAAACATTTAAATATATTTTAATTGTTTATAATAATTATAATTTAACAACAATTATAGTAATAATGAACACGTAAATATAGATAATTTTTTTATCTTTAAAATGAGCCCAATTTGAACTCTGTAGGATGAATAGAAGTGGAGTTATCGCGATTTTAAGAAGCGCATAACGGCGAGTTTTCTTAATTTTAATCTTCAGTATTTTTTTCGAAAATATTGGTAAAAAAAATATTGCCAAAATACGTGTTGGCTTATTTTATATTAGAAAATGCGTAAAAAAATGTTGTAGTAAATTAAAAATGTTGTAGTAAATTAAAAATGTTGTAGTAAATTAAAAATGTTACCCCATATTAGGTGTTCAATTTGTAAAAGAATATTTCATACATAACAAATATTAAATGTATATAGTATATTAGATATAGTACATGAAGAAAGAAATGTTAAATATGTTACGATGAATTTCGAAACTTATAATTCTCTTTGCTAAACCATAATTTTATCACAGTTTCATTTTAAATTCCATATATTAAACCCATTTTAGACGTTTTATAATTCGCGACCAAATTCGGAACAGAATTCTATTCATAATTTCGCGTGTCGTATAACATAGAAAACATTTGAAGAAATAAAATACATACATATAGAAAATATATGTATATTACTTTTGATATATTTGCTTTTAGTTTTGTTCTTATATTTAAAATATGAATACAGCTCTGCTCTCCTGAATTTTGCTTCCCCGCAAGTAAAACTAATCTGGTTTTTTTTTTACATATTTAGGCCGCGAGCTTTGTTTTATGTGTCATCCGTACTCCGAACGTTTTTTCAATTGATAATTAAGCACGTAGCGCGTGTAAAAATACAATTGTGCTAAATTGAGAAAATGCTAATTTCCTCAATTTAGCACAATTTCGCTTTCTGCGTTTCCGATAAACTACGGGGAATGAATGTGTCTACTAATTGAAGTGTTTGATATTCGTTGAAGGAGACTATTGACCTGTGGTACCTATCGACCACGGAAAGGGTACTAGGGTCTACACTAATTTCTCAGCAAGAACAGCATGCGGTCAGCTGCGTACGTGATGGTAAAATTAGGTATGTCCATCACCATGAAGCCGCGGTAGCTAAATGTGCCATGGTAGAAGATCGAAACCACGGTACGACAATCACATTACCGTTCTATTATATACGACAGCTGAACGAAAACTGTCGATATAACTTGCTGAGAAATAAATGTGTTTATATAAACAAAGTAATCATTTTCTCCTGCATCCGAAACAATATTGGGTATAATTGGCAAAATGTTTTAGCGGTTTAACAAACAAATATGTTACAATAATATAGTGATAAATTATTATATTTTATTTTAACAAGAGTTTTTTATTAAACAGGAAAATCCTGAAAAGAAAATTTCAAAAAAAATAATTTATACAAGTGTATTAGGCAAATTCGTATTTCGTTAGACCGTAACTAAATCACATAAGAAAACAGTATATGTAAAACACATCCTTTTTTCCCTCGAAAATCACCCTTCTAAATTTCATATTTAATCTTTTTATGCGAAACCATTTTATAGCCGTGAAGAGAGAATCACCTTACATAATTTACTACAGAAATTTTTTTTCCTCGAAAAAAAAAGGACTTTCATATAGTGATGTAATATCCCTTATGTATAAATATTTTGATCCTCTAAAATATAAAGGACTACGCACTAATCATATATATATGGAAATGTGGCCACCGTTAAAATTGAAATAACATGTGCGAAAGTATACTTTATGAGGTACTGATCAAAAGTCTAGAAGTTTTTTTAATACGCGATTAAATAATTTTTTAATTAATCTAATATTACTTCTGTAACTTCTTGAGTTTTCAAAGTTTGATGCGATCAGAAATTGAAAGGCTAATAAAACATAGCGTTAAGTTTTTTACACTATATACATATATATATACCCGAGAAAATCTCTGAGAATGAATCGGCGCTTTTGAGCACCATTGTTACTTTACTAAAAGCGAGGTCTCGGTCACAAAAAAAAACCATTGTTGGTTTACCTTTTTTTGGAGAACAATTCATCGTGTTACACATAGCACGCGTTTTACGTCGATTTTTTTTTTATTTGGTTCATAGCACAACTTCCTAACGCACTAGATACTTTAAACTAGATACTTTACTTTGCCGCGGGGTTTCGCAACACGAGTTTTACACGAAAATCTGAAATACAAAGGTCTGAAAACATTTTGAAACTAATGAAGGTGCAAAATTTAATAAACATGCCATATATTGCAATTTCGACCATCAAGTGCCATAGTTTACTGCGTTATAGCTTAATATAAGGTATCTATTACGCTATATATGTGTTCGACTTTAGAGCTTTTACAGAGTTCGAAGATTCAATACGACACGCTACCCTAAAATTCTAAGTACATAACTATGTTAAATAATTGATGTAACGTAAACATTATTTCTCAATCATAATTATTTACTAAAATTAATGGTCTTACGTATATAAATCTTAGATGTACATTTTCGTTTTAAATGCACTTTTTGTATTATAATTTTATTTTTTACTTAGAGCTCAGAAATTGAAGTATCCGATTAATTTCTACATTTGAGTAACATTGTGTCAATCTCGATTTTATGTTTTTTGATTCTACATTTCTGCATATTAAATGACTTTTCATAATGCTCATTGTCGATATGATAGCTGTTACCAATTAATTAAAATTATTATGTAAATTATTATTACGTAGAAATACTAAAATTACTTCATTCGAAGACTATTATATGTAGCATACGCCTTAATAACGAAGTAACATGAGGATACTCAATCTTTGCACCAGATGCCGGAAACATTCTCCGTGTATAGTATGTATACAAATAGCTTTACGAGCGACGCAGATTGAAACATATCGGAACATTGATGAAATAAACGGCTCGATAACGAGCCATATCCACGCCACGTTATAAAGTATCAAATTGATAAAAACAAGTTTCATATTGAAAGCAAACGTTGTCGAATCGATCATTATTATGAAAATTTTATGGAACGTTCGCATGTCACGATAATCATATTTTCTTTGAACCTATATTATGTTAAGTAAGAAATAATTTGCATAATTGGCATTGAATAATAATCGGCAATTGTTGAGATCGATTGTAATTAACTATTTGAGAAGTTCCTTATCCAGATAAATAATTCAAATTTTGATAAAAATAAAGCCATTTGTTATTAACTTCTTATATATTTGTCGTTCCATGTATATAAGTGACATATTGTTGTTGCTAATGTAAGATTTTATTCTTAAATTTCAGTTTTAAAATCTTCTCGTGATTGTTTTACACAAGATTCGCGTCAGCATCCGCTACTCTTTGACTTATCCATCTATTTTCGTCGATATATTTCTGCAGTATATTCTCCCTATCTTGTAGGGTAAATGTTTTATAACCGGCCGGCGTTAAGGCAATATCTAGCAGAGATCCTCCAATCTGTTATATGTACCTTCCTCTCAACCTTCTGTATTTATTAAAGAAAGCTTGTCACGAAGTTATCCCCTTGACACATTTTTCATCATCTTCCTCTATAAGGTTTGTTAGGATAAGGATTTATATTAAGCGTCTTCTACACACGAATGTGGATATACTTAGGTACACAAAAACTGAAGTACGATCGATCTTCAATATACACAAACGCTCTCTTTCTTACTTTCTGTTTCCTTATAATTAATAAAAGTATCAAATATACATTTGTATCTGACGAATGATATGCATCATATTTCAAATTCTGTCGAAGGCAACTTTCAGAATACGACGTGACCGCACAAAGCCTTAGTAAAAGCAAAAATTATACATACGTTGAATGTATTGTGTAATAAGCTAATAAGTATTTCATAATCCTCTTGATGGTAGAACGCACGTTCGAGTTTTAGAAAGAACTGGATGTGTACACAATTTATTACAATATACTTCATTAAAATTCAGAGTCATTTTCTCATGTTTTTTATATACAACTTTTTATATACAACTTTGTAATTAAAAGAAGCAGACAAATCAGCGAACAAAAGCCGTATCAGCTGGTAAATAAGTTAAAGATTAATAATATGATTAATTGGATTAATTATAAATGACAAATAAATAACAAATTGTAACGAATTAAATTATTGTTACGATTAGGTGCTGGATCAATGAGGGCAATTATATAAACGTACTGGTTTATCCCGTATGCGTTTCCACTTTGTTGAATCTACTTTTCCTGTTTAATATCGTACGAGTTCTTCTCATGAAGTTACGTGGCGGTCCTGCCATTGGAACGCGCCCTTCACGATCTATGCAGCAAGCTTTCAGGTAGTTGAATTTTTCACTTTCTGTATGCTACCTTTCATGTCAAATTGTACATTGACATGACGGCGCAAAAAAAGAACGAAACAAAGAGCGTAACGAACGTATTCCTTTCTACAGAAATTTACGAGCATGTACGGTGCAATTTTTTAATCACGATCAATTATTTGCATTACTTTTTATAAACTTGTCAACTTTCGCTTAACGATACCATCCAATACTATTAACAATATTACAGTTTTTTTTTTCATTAACAAAAGTAATATAATTCAGTAAGTTAAGTAAAATACTAATAACTAACAATGAGATTAAAATGACAATAATTATTCTTTCGAATACAAACTAATGACGATAATTATTCATAATATTCGTAATATGTTGTATGATCCAATTTATCTGTGTGTGTGATATCTTGTTGCCAGGGCCACGTTACTTTTAGTGCCCCTCCTGGGCCTTCACTATTTAGTAATTCCATTTCGGCCGCCAAAAAATCATCCTTGGGAGAATTTTTACGAGGTCCTTTCATCAATCACCGCTTCTTTCCAGGTTGGTATTTTTGTATTTTTGCATATTGCTTCAAAATTAAGAACGAAATGAACAAGTAAATTATATATACATTGTATAATATAATGAATAGATCTGGAAATTGTATTGCGCATTGTGACACATGTTTCGAACAGACATCGAATCAGATTGTAAAGCTTATCGTGCATCGGAAAGCTTCATGAATTTAATATGCACTTTATCACAGCCTACTCTTTCCTACGTTTCAACGCATTCGTCAATGTCAAATTAATTTTTATTTTATTATTGAAATTCTTCACATAACATATAAAATTTTTTTATCTCGCATATAAATAAATTAACAAAGCAAATTTTGTCTCTCGTTAATTTAGAATATCGAAATACGTATAGGATTACAAATATAATAAAATCTGATGAATACAGTGTTTTCCACGATAAAAAAGGGTTTTAATCTTTCTTGAAAATTTCCAGTTTTAAAATCAAATAGCAAGTTATAGTTAGAGATAAACGTGTATACATATTTGTGAAACATGACGCAGTCAATTTTTTCAGGTTTTATTCAGTCAAAAATACGACTTTTCTACGACGAAAAAAATACAGGTAGACGCTGATGTATACGGAAAATATTTAAATACTATCGCAATTTAAATTCAATTACCGAGTACTTTTAACCAATACTTCGATTTTCTAAATCAATATTTGTATTTTTTTCCTCGATCTGATACAAATAGAGATATAAAGAGACATCCTTCTAGATTCTCATCCGAAGCAGTATGAATATCGAGCAATCAAATTTTGTGCGAAATTGCGCTTTCACACACGACACTGTCAACATGGCTACATTGTTATATAATCGCTTTATATCGTATAAAATCGATGGAATTGCTATTTAATTGAACGATTCGAGTGAACCAGTTATCTTGATATTTGAAAGCCTTCGGGTGTAACCATTTTATATCTGAAAAATACGATTGTTAGAACATATATGCGCATCTTAACAACGTCGCGTGTAACGAGAAACATTACAAAAAGTGGTTTATCGATTAACTTCACAATTCTTTTATTACATTTATTCGTTATTTATATGTAGGAACGATTTGAAAAATAAAATATAAAAAAATTTTCAAACGTAAATACAAGTATCGATGCAAATATAAGTTTTTGTAATACATACATTTATGTGTTTTACAAACATTTAGTTTAAATACAGCATCCCCAATTTAATGTTTATTTATTAAATTATGAAAAAATTCCTTGCCGTTGAGAAGAAAGATGGAATTAACCTTATCTGTGTGCGTAGTAAAAAATATTTTATACTTGAATTAAAACTGATCCTTGTTAAAATTTTTGTTTTAAATTTTCCACATACTTGAGAGTTAATTTAATATAATTTTTGTGTTACAACACAAGAAATTTTATATTAAATTCAACATTTTTTTAATATTCAACATTTCTTAGTATTATTGTTATTTTTAGTTTCTTGAATATGTTACATAACATAAAAATAATATAAAAATAATTTTTTAAACGTAAAATTTTAATTAATAAATGAATAAAATATACTTGTTAATTTAATATTTATATATATTATGAATATTAATTTTATTAAAGAAACGTGCCTCCACAATTTTTTCCCAAATTGTGTCAAAATGTTACATTTGCAGCGTTTTAATTTTTTATAGTATAATATTTGTGTTTATACAACTTTTTGACATATTCATCTCGGGTTGAATTAATATATAAATTGTAATGGATTTTTAAATAATACATAACTTTTAGGATATATGTCAAATTTAACATAAATTTGCTAACTATGTAAACATTACAACCTTTCGTATAATAATAATAAGATAGTAATGAAGGAAAGTAATAAAATTTTATAGCTCATTGATGACACGATTTTTGCAAGTTAATCGGAATCCTACCTCGTATCTCATGCGAAAGAAATCGTAATAAAGTTGATAGGAATTTTCTTCGGAAACGTTTCGAGCTCGATGTACCGAGGTAAAATGCAATTTCTCTCTTCCAGGGTCTCTGTGTCGCTGTGCTTTTTTGCTTTTGCAACGGCGAGGTAAGTTTCTATGACTACGGAAACGGTTGTTTCAACCCTCGAAGTAACTTTTGTGCTATGTAATGATATTTTCATTATGTGCGGTGCAGGTAATAGCGCAATTCAAGAGAAAGTGGGATGGCAGCGTCCTTTTACGAAAACGAGCCAATTCCTGCACGGCCACAACAGTCTCGGTATGCAGTATTGACGAACAGAGAGTATGGAGTTTTTGCGAGTGAATCGATTTAAATAACGCCTAAGCTTCCCGCCTCCTTTGCCACGACGCGACCCTTTGAGAAATAAGACTCGAGGGAATAACCAGGTGGATTAAGAGAGAGAGTGTGACAGAAAACTCGTTTCGTGGAATTGAATTTCTTATCTTACCAAATTGTGGATTAATTCCAGAGCCTTTGGAATCTTTTTGTTCCTTCCTATTATTATCAGTATACTTTCTATTAGGTACTTTTGCGCAAGTGATTATATTAATCTCTTCAATTCATTGGCAATAAAATATAGCTATTCAGTCATAATTTTTTTTGATGTTTAAGAGGATTCTAAAGTGACAGAATTATCACATTACTCCAATATGGAATGAAAGAAAACAATTCATTATTATATAATATATTTTACAAAATTTTCTTATGAAAAATTTAAATAACTGAATTTTAACCAGAAAAAAGTTAAGTCGTTTCAAAGTATCCGTAGACGGATTTTGGAATTTACAAGCAAATATAAGGAGAACGAATTTCTATCAATTTCTCTCAATCCACCGATTCTTCAGTCGCGAGTAAACTTCGTAGACTATTTGGAGACGCCATGATAGTAATGCAAAAATTCCTAGAACGTAACTATTCGACGTTACCTAATATAAATGGGGGGGAGAGTAATGGAGAACGCTCTTGCAATTTTAATGCTATTTTAATGCAATTTTAATCTGCGCTTGACGCTCGAGAGAGAGAATCATTCCCCCCGATTGGAAATTCCCGTATGCACGACTCGTCAATGGTGCGATGCGGACTAACACACACGATCGGTCCCTCTCCTGCCACTAATCCACCCGCGTACTAACCCACACGCATACTAACTCACGTGATGTGGAGTGCCGTTTTAATGAGGTGACGCCGCAACGGGCCACTAATCATATGCCATCGACGAGAGGGGAAGAAAGAGAGAGAGAGAATGAAATGGGAAGGGAAAAAAAGGGAAAAAAGAAGCATACATATATATGTATAATAATATATATATATATAATCCGTCCGTATCGTGCCAGTGACAGCAGCGTGCCCGAGTTGAGTCCATTATGGAACGTTGACTGTTTCAGTTTATCCGCTCGACCGCAGGTCCGATGGCGGGAGAGGAGAAGGTGTGACTATCAGCCGGCAGCAGCGGTGCCGAGGGACGACGACTGCAATAAGCGATTGGCGAGCGAAGACCAACAACTGCAGCAGCAGACCGTGCAGG